TTATTCATTTTGTTAAACATCAGAATCTTCATTGAACTTTTCTTTTGTGTTTTCGGAAGATTTTTCAATAACACTAATTTCACAAAAACAGTGTAAGTGTCTGTACTACAGCCTATATGTAGTCATAGATCTCAAAGAACCCACAGCTCTCTAGAATGGGCTGGACTAGCTCTGCTCCCCTCGCCCCACTTACATCGTGTCTACGAAAATCTTGAGCTTTTATCTGAAAACTGTCTGCTAAGTATGATAAGGTAGCTTTTCTCAGCCACTCTCTGTCAGCAGATTGCCTTTGATTGTCTGTCGAATTTTTAGCTTCTTCCACTTCAAAAAACTATCGAGAGCCTTGCATGTAGTCCTTTCTTTATCTAAGTCAACTAACAGTTTTTCTGTGATCATTAGAGATGACCTGAATTTGATCAATAATAATGGTGATCTTATTTTAATGTTTATCAACACATATATTGGAAGATATATTGAATGAAACTTTAAAGAGCATCTTGGACGAATGATTCTGACTGCAAGTTCTCGTTGGAAAATGGTAGGAACTTGGAAGCATGAATTCAGCGGTCGAATCTTTCTATTTTCGGACAGAACCGACCATCGGATTCCCTACATCCAAGTTCCTACAATTTTCTCGAGTTTTCTAGTCGAAAACGGTCCGTATTTCTTGACTTGGGACGTTATTATATTATGTAAAAAGCATTTAAGTCACTTGAATTGTATAATAGATATTAGTATTTAATTTTCCAACGAACTTTTGAAAGATTCTGTAAAATAGAATACAGAAAAGAATATCATATGTTAGCGTTCGTAGTGCAGCTCGCATCGTCCTTAAGAATCGAACTCCTTCTAATAATAAACTTAAACAAAAAACGATAGAATAAAGAACTATAGTCATAATATTTGTGTTGAATTTCATAGAAAGTGGAGGATCATTTCATAATTTATGATTGACACATATATAAGATACCCATTTCAAAAGTTATGAATAAATTACAGTAGGCATATCGTATAATTAACGATGAAAAATAAGAATAATACAAGCTAGAAAATAGCGAGAGAAGGAGATGATAGTGAAATTTTGCAAATGTTTTGATTGAAATTCATTAAAAACGTTCAGTCTATTCAGACACAAGTCATGGATATAAACTCTTTGTTTTAGATCGACATAGTTTACTAAGATTTACATAATACAATAAGTTCTGTTTCAAAAGTGAATCGACACCTGAGAACGTTATCTCATCAGATTTGTTCATTTTCAATAGATTTAACTACGTAATAATGCACATAATGAAAAACAAGATATGCAACAAAAGTAATAAAATAGTCATATGAGATAAGTACTAATACCGATTGAGTCAAAATGATTGCAACACCGAGTATTTTGCAAATATCTCAGGATAGATAAATTTTATAACGTTGAATTCTTTTTAAAAGATGCGCCATAAAATTCTCTACAAGAATGGCAATGAAAAATCTCATTGAGTTTGTGCAATATTGTTCTTATAAGATGAGAACAGAAGCATTGCGAAATAGTGCAATATCTCATTATTCTGAAAGAAACAAAATGAAATTAACTTTAATTATTTTGCGTATGTCTCACTACTAACAGATCATAAAGCTTTAAATTTTATTGTTACATTCGTCATAGAATTTTCTGCTGATTTTTCACAAAAAACGATCTTTATGATGTCGTTATTGCCCATTATAAAAATGGAAAAAAGGTCTAGAAATTACAAGTATATTAGCGAATAAGGTTCATTGTACTATAGTTCATCGATGAATACAGAGATTTAATCAAAGTGGCTCTGTTGATGCACGCATATCGATCGGAAGAAGATGAACTGGACGAGCTAAGAGATTAATTAATTTAGTCAAGAAGCGACATGCATCCCAAAGTACAAGAAAAAGATCACGCACAATGGCCAAGAATTTCCAGAGTACTCAACAAAACGATCTTGAGAGTACTTAAATAGGAGTTAAAACTGAAATGTTATAGAAAAGTTAGTGCTCAAAAACTGCAAGATCATCATAAGTTACACCGAAAAAGATGTTTTATTTGGATTAGAAAGTATTTTAGCCGTGAATTAATGCAAAAAATTATGTTTACTAATGAGAAAATGTTCAACCAGAACGGCTGTTTTAATTTAAAAAATGATGTTATATGGAGAATTAGTAGATTGAAAGCAGACAACAACAATGGCATATTCACTAAAGAAAAATACCCTGTTTCAGTGTTGATTGCAATGGGCAGCACATGAAAAGATTTCACTGCACCATACTTTTTTGAAAAGTATTACCCACGTAGTCGGTTGTTGGATTATCATGTAATTATTGCCATTATAATGGAAAATAATGGCAATAATTACATGATAATCCAACAACCGGCTACATGGGTAACGCTTGAATAGTCAAATATATTGGAGCAACCTCACACACACCAGTGATAAGTCACAAAAATGATACAAAAAAGACTTCGAGTCGTTTATACGTAAAGATCAGTAGCCTTCTATTTCACCGGACTTAAATCCATTAAATTACTCTATATGGGATCATATTAATAAGAACATTGATTATCAAAAGGCCAAAAACATGATAAGATTTGAAGAAACAAATAAATGAAGTATATCAAAAAATTAATGTAAGTTATGTTCACAAAATGATCAGCTCTTTTCTTCAAAAAGTTCATGCAATTGAACAGCATAACGACGATCACATTTTTCACGAACATTTATGATTTTAATATTATCTCATTTCAACTCTTTTTATAAAGTATATCATGATATGATGCAAAATTTTGTTTGAAATAAAAAGAAGACTTTTTTGATGTTATTTTCATTTTTATTTCTTTCAGAATAATGGAATATTGCACTATTTCGCAGTGCTTCTGTTTTCATTTTATAAGAACAATATTGCACAAATTCAATGAAATTTTTAATTATCATTCTTGTAGAGAATTTTACCTTGCATCTTTTAAAAAGAATTCAACGCTGTAGGATTTATCTATGCTGAGATATATGCAAAATACTCGATGTTACAATCATATTGGCTCACGCGGTATGATGTTTGGTGAACGTTAGGATTCAAAGTGTTTCTATTTAAAATTGTAAGAACTTTATTTTGCACAGAATGTAAGCTTGTTATTAATGGATTACGGTGTTAAATCGTTATGACAAAAGAAAACAGAACAAGATACCTACCTCTGTTATATAAAATAAGTCTATCGTGTATTTAAGGACAACTATACATGTACCTAGATGCCAATTTACCAGTAAACCTGCCTTTATCAGAGTCAATGGCATTTTTGATTTCAAACTGAATCTTGGAAAAAAAACAAGTAACACTTATCGAAATTCGATTAGTCTAACCCTAGACTGAGGTAACGGTCTAGAACCGAAAATTTACTTTTATCCGTCTGTCTCTCTATAACACACTGATGACATGGTGACTATGATCCAATGACCACCGATAAAGCCTGAAAGGCCACAAATATACTCTGAACGAGCAAAAACTGGCATAAATGACCACAAATATGGTACATGTGGTCACCTGTATGGTCCATATGACAATAGACATGCCCGACACAATGGTATCTGTAGTCTTTTGAACTTTGTGTCTTAATTCGAACCATATTTGTGTAACATCACTGGTTAATTATGTCATGTTTGTAATCGTTTAGAGTATCTTTGTGGTCATTCAGATGGTATTTTGGTTGCCTGTGACTTAGATACCGCCGTTTCAGATAGACTTATCGTCACTTTCACCGAGTTTATGACCATTGTTACTATTTCTTCACTCGTACCATCTCTATGGTCAGTGACCATAGAGATGGTACGAGTGATCAAAATATGATCTAAATGACCACAAAAATGATTCAAGCCACCAAGACGGTGGTCCAAATGACCATACCTACTGTCATTTGTAAGATCTTTGTGGTAACTTGTACCATATCTATGGCCACTTGTACTACCTTTGTGCTCCGCTATACCATAGTAGTGGTCACTTTTACCATTTCTGTGGTCATTTATACCATGTCTATGGCCATTTGTACTATCGGCATGGTCTCCTATACCGCCGACATGGTCACTTGTACCATTCGTATGGTCATTTGTACCATCCGTATGGTCAGTTGTACCACGACTATGGTACTTTGCACCACGAAAATGGTCACTTGTACCACGGCTATGGTACTTTGTACCATGGAAATGGTCATTTGTACCACGTGTGACAGACAGACACAGGTGAATTTCGGTTTCTAGACCCTGTTCTTTCAATCTAGAGAACAGCACCCTTTTCTACAAAATTGCGGAACTTCAGAATTATAATAATGACATCTACAGTATATACCTCCCTATTTTTATAGGATACGGGCCTTGTGGACATTTAGACGTATACTGATGATGTATATAGTATATACCCCTATTTTCAAAGGGTGTGGGTGGGAGTCTTCTTTTGGCTCACACCCACATCCACACTCTCATGATAATTCTAAAGATTCTCAAGTCCCGCATTTCAGTTTGAAAATGAGTGTCTTTTTTTTCTTCTAAATTCAGATTGAGATCAAAATAATTATTGTATACTTTATCAGTAAAGAAGAGAAAATCTATGATATTATATTGCAGCGGCAAATGAAGCAAGGTATTTTGCATTTAAAAGAATTCTGCGAATTGTTTCATAGGAAAATGAAACGAGAATAAATGTCAAAGAAAGAAATTGATTAATAAAATTTTATTTATTGTATTACAAAAATGAGAAATTGAATACTTGAAGCATACAGAAAAATTTTTTCGGGTACAAAGAACAGAAAAAATACGCCATTGATCGAATTAAAATTTTGTTCGTTTTTAACTTGATTCAATCAAAATTTAAAATACAATACATGTAAATATGACTAATACTGATTACTATGTAAATACTTATTACTAAATAAATTGTTGTATATTTTTCACGTGCATGAATAAATAAGAAGGTTTCAAAACTTGTTTAATAAATACTAAAATTTAAAGCTGACTTTCCACCAGTTCATTTGTTTCATCATTGTTCACCGATTCTAAATCGAAAAAACATAGCAAATTTTTATAGCAGAACAACAATAAAAGAAATCATTCAAATACATAAATTTTAGCGAATCGAGAAAATGTCAAAAGTAAAAAATATCGAAAACAAAAATGATACTATATAGTTTAAGCACACTTACTTGAAAGTATAAGAAACAGATCCACCTACATATTATCCATACAATGTTGAGCCACCATGGCTGAGTGGCTGCATTGTTCGGCACATATCCACAAAGTATTGTATACAAAACCTTAGTACCACCTAGTATCCTGCAATCAGATCCGATACTCGGTATGCGACCTGGCTCAAAGGATGGGTACGATTGTTGGTTATGATCTCATACTCGAACTTGAGCGGCAATTAATGATATTTCGACTTTTCAAAATATTTTCAGTTTTTCAAACTGCTACTTGATATAAAAGCTATTACGGCAATTCCTGGGAGATTAAAATGTGGAATATGATCTAGCTTCTGTCGCTAATCACATAAAGATTGTTTCATTCGATCTTTTTTGGGACAAGTTTCTTCATAAATGTTTGCAGAACTCTATCGAATTGCAATGAGGTAGTTGAAAGATTCTAACGAAATCTTAGCAATCTAGGCTCTATGATAGTCTGTTACTGTCTGTGATGGATCTGAAGTGCGTTTACCACGGTCTGTGACGAATTCGGAGCCTGTCTGTCAAGGTCTATGATGGTCAATTAATTAATTAGATAGTAATTAATTAATTAGTTATCTAATTAAATAAAATGTTCGTCTCGGTCTGTAGGGGAGGTGTGGGAGGAGTGGGTCAAAATTTCTGCCCTATATATTTCAATACTCCTTTTAGATTGTGTTTCACAAAAGCATAGGAGTGACAACTGGTTCGATCGTGATTGAGAAATTTATTATGCTTGAGAATAGTTCACAGAAATGAAAAGCGCTTTGTTTTGCTAAAAGAATTCGTTTTTAATGAAAATTCATCTACAGTCGATGATGATGAACCATATGATGAAGTAACTGAATACATGAAGAGAAAAATGAATTATCAAAAAAAGGCGAACCTGTATTATAGTGATGGAAAAAGTATTCACGTATGTATCCATAATTATGATATTTGGCTTCAACGTTGCATTCTATTCCAGCATCATCAGCAACAAGTGAACATATACTTAGCGAAATTAATCGAATTTTAAATGTAGAAGGGCACTAAATGAATCAGGAATCACTTCCTTTTTTTATGGAATTGAAGATAATCTCTTTTTTTGTTGCTGTTTATGGAAAAAACTAAATAGTATAACTTTTCATATAAAATAAAAGTTTGAAACCAGTACTGTAGTTGTAAAAATATCTGCCGGATGTTGATTAGCTTCGATTGAATATCAGATACAGCATCCGAGTTCAATTCGAGCCTGATATAAGATGGCCAGGTTCAGTTACGAAAAGTCGTATCTGTGCAAGACACTAGTACCACCAACTGTAGGATGACCTTGGGCAAACCTATAAGTGGTTATTTGTTTCGAATCACACGTCCGATAGCATGCTGACTACGTTATGACATACACCTGCTCTTGGGGTTAGTTAGGGTGTGTACGAAGCTCAATAACTTCACGACAGGCCGGTCCTCTGTCCAGAACTATTTCTAGTCAAGATTGTAGGAGAGATATCAGACTAGTCAATCTGTCGTTTGGCTGCACATCATACTGAAATGTAGGAGTATTTTTCCTTCCCTCCTATTTTTTTCAATACAATGTTGATGAAGAAATATACTTAAGTTTTGTTAACAGCACTTCGCTATTTTGTTTTACTTTCAGCGTTTTTTGCTTTTTTTTTTATAAAATTTATACTATTCATACCGTTATTTAATGCATTTCTGGCTGCCATCACTGCACTATGTGTTGTTACATAAACTGTATCAGATTCTGTTTGTTCGTAAAATTTCATAACATCAAATGTATGACGAACTTCGACTTAAAACAAAATAGTTCTCATAAATAAAAAGCAAATAAATACTTTTTTTTATTATCATACGTCGGCATTCACTCAAATACAGTGTAATTCCTCGTTTTTTCAAATCATGGAATATCTAGATAAGTACAAAAGCACAAATAAAAATATTTTATTATCGGTTGTTTTTTTTTCTATACATACTTGAATAAGTAGTTTAACTCCAACTGTATCAATATAATTAAATGGTGAACAATCAAGAATAACATATTTGTAAGTTGGTTCATTTTTATGATTTTTTTGTGTCTTTTCTCCCCAACTAATAAGTGGTGAGTATGATAGATGAATATCAATAAGTTCATAAAATTTTCTTTTAAAAAATGGTGCATTACACGCATAGAGTGATTCATCAAAACGAAGAATTTTTATTTTAGAATATTGATGTCCCTAAACACATAACAGATAAATTAGTATGCAAATAAAATTTTTTACATACTGAAGGAAAATAAACAATACTCTTATAAAGTCCAGTTTCTTCAACTTGACCAAGTACGACAAATCGAGGTCTTTATTAACAAAAAAGAAAATTATATTAAATAATTCTATCGCAATGTTCTACTTACTTTTGTGTTCGTATTGTATTAATAACAAACGATGTACACATACCAACATATAGACCAATATCAACATCAAACAAAAGAACAGAGACAAATGTCATTGTCCATAAAATCTTTTGTAAAAAAAAAAAAAGTCAAGTATAATTTAGAAGAAAAATTAGAAATCAAGAAATTTTAAAACTTTCCTCGAACGAATTAAAAGATAGTCCAATAGTCAGTCGAATATTTTTTATATGAGTTGTCACACAAAAAATTTTGATACATACTTGTTACGATCGAAAACAAAAGAACGTACAAAAAAACCTATATGTAAAAACATTCAATCTTTTTTGAAGTGGTCGTCAATTTTTATGCAGCAAACACTAGCCAATGTCGACTATCGATTTTTTTAGATTGAAGTTTTTGACTTGATTGCTTTTTAGTCATTTTTTTCCGAACGTCCAAACGAATAAAATTGTGTAATATCTCAAATGGTAGAATTAACTTCACTCTACAAAACTACATGTTAGAGTTTCGCTAATTATTTCTAATGACCAGTTCATGCCAGAAATACCAATTCTTTTTAAAGAAAAAACGTATTAAAATTTTCATGAATTTCCATATATTGTCGAACTTTTCTTTTCAGAAAAGCATGGACTGGCGATGATTTCCAGCGCATTTGATAGAATAAAGAAAATTCTACAAAATGTACGAAGTGTCGCCTCTAATCCAACAAGTGATAGGGATAGGTCTGAAGTTAGAGATGTGCAGTTTCGTTAAAAATACTGAAATACTGACAGTGAGTTTACTAACACACTAACCACGCTGAAATGGTCTTCACTAAATCATTGAATCATCCATGCAGTATGGATATGTCAGATAAATCAGTGAACATCGATCCAATGTAGTCAGTGTGTCATTGAACACTTTACTGAAATTGCACATTCCTGGTGAGAGTATGGAGGTGAGTCTGAGTGAGGATCTTTTCTATACTCTAACCCACATCTACGCTCTCGTTCGAGGAAAGTTTTGAATTTTCTTGAATTCTAATTTCTTTTGTAACGTATATATATATATATATGTAATTTAATTTTTCTTCTACTTACACATTCCAATAAACTAATTTGGAAATAAAACATAAAATCTTTCATTTGAAAAAGAAGTCCTTTTAAATTAACAATAATAATTGCCGCTAGACAGGTCATAGGTAAAGATCGAAAAAGATGAGTCAATGCAATAATAACTGTACCCAAAACAATGGAAGAAAAACCACCGATTAAAAGAGTTTTTCCTCCACTACCTTCTTGTACAACTGAACGACTCAATGAACCAGCACTTGGATAACATTGAAAAAATGATGAAAAAACATTTGAGATTCCATAAGCTAATAATTCCTATTTTCAGTTAAATCAAATATTTCACTTTCTTATTTCTCAAACAATTTAACGTACTTGATTCGAGCTAACTTTATAACCATGTTTTCGACTAAACATTTTTGCCATTGATATTGAAATAGACAAACTAACAGCAGCGATTGTAATAGCTGGTACAATTAATTGATTCCAATGATTTAATGGAGGAACTGTCAGTGATGGTAAACCTCGTTTAATTTCTCCTACTACTGATACACGATGTTTTGAATGAAGTTTTGTAAAATGTGATGTAATTGTACCAATAATTACCTAAATAATCAAACATTAAATAAATTATTATTATTATTAAAATAATAACATACTAAAATTAGTTCACATGGCAGTACAATACGAATTTTCGATTTATAACGTTCATTTAGATATTTAGCTACATACAGAACAATAATAGATATAATACCAATAGCTGTTGATACCAAATTAATATTATGTATTAATAAACTAATTAATTTAATATAGAATCTTGGTAATTTAAATGCTCCATTTATTCCTCGTGGAGCTTTTATATCGAATATTAATGGAATTTGACTCGTAAAAACATGTAAAGCAGCACCAGTTGTAAAACCGCTAATAAATGGCTCAGTTAAATAGATAGCTAAAAATCCAAGTCGTAGGAAAGATAATATTAACTAACAGAAAACAAATTAAAAAAAATGAATGTTTTTGTTTTTTTATTAATTATAAAAACTAACTTGAACAATGCCAACAAGAAGAGCAAGTGTAGTAGCTGTACCAATTTTTTCATTAATTAAAAATAAATCAGAGTCATTTGAAAATGTAGAAGATGTTTGATTATTATTTATTATACTCATTGATGGTTGTATCACACTTTCAAGCGCTTGTGCTATCATCAATGATATAACAGCAAATGTTCCTAGGAAAAAAAAACATTTATTCAATTTTTGTATAATTGTACTTCTTCCTCTTTTGGACTAATTCTGATTTTTGGCGAGAGTACAACCGGTCGAGTTCATATATTTATCACAGCTGGATTATCGAAAATGATGGAACTCATGTTCGAGGGAAAAATTTTATAAACAGGCCTTCAGAGGTTTTTGAAGGGATCTTTAAAAACCTATCAGAAGTACTTACGAACCTGGTCATACTTTGTTCGATCGGACTGAAATTTTTTCTGGATGTACCTAAGACAAAGTCTCACAAGCTTTGAACAACTGAGAACTTCTTTGTTCCAGGTACATTCAGAAAAAATTTCAGCCGGATCGGACAAAGTAAGGTCGGATCTGATGGTTTTTTTAAAAGTCCATTCAAAAGCCTCTGAAGAGCTGCTTTAAAATTTTTTTTTCATCAGACATGGATCCTATCATTTTCGATAAGCTAGTTGCGGTCAAAATGTGAGCTCGACTAGTTGTACTCTTGCGAAGAACCAAAAGTAGTCTAAAAGAGAGGGCAATAACCTTACCAATAGATAAATGTGGACATGTACCAAATATCATATAGATAATCACAGGAAAAAATGAAACATACAACCCTTTCAAAAAAATAAACTATTTCAATTGAAATCTAAAATATTTACTTACCATAAATAGGTGGTAATGTTGTTAGAACCCCATAAGCCATACCTATTCTCATTATTTGAAATAATAAAAAGAAAAGTATGTCTACTAATATATTATTTTTTACCTTGTGGTATATGCATGATTGCTACAATAATACCAGCAATAATATCTCCAAATAAATTTTTACGAATATTATATTCTTTTAAACAACGAAGAAGTGGTATTTTATCCAAGACTGAATTTAAACAACATAGAAAAGTAAATGTAGCAAATTGTTTTTTTAGATAACGTTTAATATGATCAATTCTAGATAAATGTGGTCTATAAGTTCCATATTCATCAACAAATGATTGAAGACGACGACTTCGAGGAGTGGATGGTTCTGCAGCAGTTAACTCTCCATCGTCTTCATTATGATAATCAATATCCTTTTCAAAACGTATACCAGCCATATTCAAGAGAAGATCTGAAATAAATCAATTTTCTTTCATGATCAAAATTTAATGGTACAAAAAAAAATATTTTTTGTATTATTTATCAATGCAACAGAAACAGAAAATTCCATTTTGTGTAATTGTTTGTTTTTTTTTGTTTCAAACTTAAACTATATCGTTAAACAAGTTTATATTCAAAGAAGAAAAAATGGGAGTAAATCATAGACAATACATCATCCATTTTTCTAATGCCAGAACAAAAAAAAACAAACTATATTAAAAGGTATCGACGAAAAATAAATGGGATTAAAGAGAGAAGAATAAAATGAACTGTTTGTAATTGTTCGTATATAAAATAATAAAAACATTTGAAAAAATTTCTTGCAACTAACAGACATTCAATATTAAATCTATTATGCTCCACAAACTCAACATTGTTACACCGACGGACAGTCAATTGGGTCTTACTACTGCAGATGAACTAGAAAATACAACGATTCTATCTGGTGATGCTGATAATGATAATAAATTTCGTAACGCACCGCGAATACCACGAAATAAAATAGTAATATTTTCTTTTTCTTATTCCATTACTTCTTTTTATTTTTGTTCAAAAACATAGGATCCAAATGACTTTCAAACTTATGCTATTGATAACCTTCAACTTGACGATGCTGAAATACAAGAACTTGTTATTGAATCTGCACCTTCTAAACCTATATCTCCTTGGAAGAAAACAAGTGAAGTACCTCGTTGGCTTGTCTTAATATTTACGAATTTTTTAATTATGCTTGTGATTGCTACATTTTGCGTTGTTTTTATTTATCAAAAATCACAAGTGGGTCTTGATGAATTATGTTTAACTGATAGTAATTGTAATTCTCGTGTGGGTCTTATGTGTACAGCGGGCAAATGTTCATGTAGTGCAGCTCAATTTTGGAATGGCCGTAGATGTGTATCACAACGAACATTTAATCGAAGTTGTACATCATCAAGTCAATGTAACTCATTAATTAAACTTGCGTGTATGAATGTAACTATTAGTTCATATACTGATTTGCTCTGTTGGTGTTCAGCCTCTCAGTAATTTTTATAATCAGAAAAAAAATTTCTTTCTTTTTTCTGATAATAAGATTTTTTTTTAGATATTGGACGGGTAGTGAATGTGTAGATCTCAAAACGTTTAATGAAACATGTTCATCAAATAGTGAATGTCAGTTTACTGATTTTTTAACATGTATAAATGGTCGTTGTGATTGTAATTCAACTCAATTTTGGGATTATGGTAATAAGAAAAAAACAAATGAAAAAGTTGAAAGAAAAATAAACTATCTATTCTTTTTCAGAATATTGTGAAAATAAACGATCATATGGTAGTCAATGTTTTAGTAACTATTGGTGTAACAATGCTACTGCTGGTCTACAATGTTCTACACAATTACCTACTGCTGGTTGGTATCTATAGATGAGAACACATATAAATAATGTTAGAACCTTTTTATGAAACACGATCTAAAAGGAATGTTGAAGTATACGCAGTAGAAATTTTGCACTCCCACATAGATCATGACAGACGGGATCGACAGATCATTACAGACACGTTAGAAACGGCTCATTACAGACATGACAGTAGGAAGCTGCGGATCCCCATTCAGACCCAGATTCAGGCCCAGATCTAAAGTTTTATTTATTTTTTTGTCTAAAACCTTAATCCTTTACTTGAGCGGGTACATGAAGAGTGTCAGGTATTGATGGAAAAACCTCGGATTTGCACCTGTATGGGTCGGACATGGGTTCAAATTTTAAACTTTTTCCGAGTCCGAGTCCACAAAAACGTGTAGACGCAGCTCTCTACATCACAAAAATTTTACGAGAAAACGTTTTCAAGTGTCAAATCGCTTTTGAGTCGTACCTATACGCAATATATAGGTTCTGATGAGTTATGACTATTCTGAAAAGAATTCGGGCTAGTAGCTTATTACTGCTCAGACACTGTATTTTTTAGTAGAATACCGTGGTGTCCTGAGGAACACCGGAACAACTAAGTTTCAAACTTTGACTTGAAACTTTGCACAAAGATAGGCCTTAAGGAGGATAGCTCATTATGAATGTTTCAGATATTTCAATTGCACTTATTCTAAAATAAGAAAATCGAATTTTGCCATTGTTGATGAGTGGCGTGGAAAACATGATTTTACTATAGCTGTATCTTACGATGGAAGCAATCAAAAGATCTGAAACTTTTACAATAAATTATTCTTATTAAAGCTTGTCTCTATGCAAAGTCTCAAGTCAAAATTCAAAACTCAGTCTTCCTGGTGTTCTTTAGATGAATCACAGCATTTTACTATATCGGTAGTAATAAGCTATTCGCCCAAACTCTTTTCAGAGTAATCATAGCTCATTAGAACCTACATGATGCACGCAGTCCCGACTCAACAGTGATTTGATATTCAGAAACGTTCCTTCGTTAGCAACGATACATTACATACCGTGACAGACATTGCTAATATAAAATCAAAGACCGTATATGAATAACATCTCGTTATATTATATGAACTAATTCCTTATTACATTTCTCGAGGATTAAGTAAAAGGATGAGTGAAGGAATTTGTCCCAAAATAGATAGAATGTAAACTAATCTCCTTGTGATAAGCAACAACAGCTGCAGTGTGTTTCATATCTTACTTCCGAAAGAATTGTGCTAACAACTTTTTGTTCTGTTTAGGAACTTGTGATTGTTTAACTAATCAATATTGGTGGACAGGAAACAATACTTGGTAAGAAAAATGATTAGGACTTTTTTTAAAAATTTTATTCGATTTTTGTTTTATCTTAGTATGCAACAATTATCTTATAATTCACCTTGTTCATTTGATTATCAATGTTTAACTAATCTTTCTCTCAGTTGTTCATCATCTACAAGTCCTAGTTCATGTCAATGTGCAGACAACTATTGGTATAATTCAACAAAATGTACACCAAAATTTCTATCTGGTGCAACTTGTAGCAGTTCAATTCAATGTGATAATACTGTTTCATTATCATGTAATTTAACTGCACAAACATGTACATGTAATGAAAGTATATATGTATGGGATGGAACACAATGTGTTGCACGTCGATCTATTGGTGGTGCATGTTCATCAAATAATGATTGTCTTGCTAGTCAAAATCTAGTATGTGCGACAACAGGTGTTTGGAATCGTACATGTGCTTGTCCAACGAATTACTATTGGAATACATCAACTTCTTTATGTGTAATAAAAAAATTATGGTATCAGCCATGTGCTAGTTCATATGAATGTTATGATGGAGGTTATCTTAGTTGTCAACCAAATGCTGCACTCAATACAACTGTATGCGATTGTACCAGTAGGATTTATTTTTCTTCTTTTTTAGATTATTTTTAATTAATATGAATAGACGATTTATTTTATATCTATTCTAGATTATACCGATTATTGGACAGGCTTTCTCAGTAATACATATAGTGATTATTGTACACCTAAGATTAATTATGGTGTACCTTCATTTACTTGTACATCATCTTATCAATGTAGAGATTATAATTATATAACATGTAATTCTGGTCAATGTACTTGTACTACATATCAATATTGGGATGGAATAATGTGTGAAGCTCGATTAAATTATTCGTAATTAGAAGTTATTTTTTTGAAAAAGAACAAATAAAGAAAATCTCGTTTGTTTTTCAGATATCCATGTAATTCAACATCAATGTGTCGAAATTGGGCATCTGGTCCTAATCTTCAATGTCTTACTCCACCAAGTGGTGGCTCAACTACACAATGTCTCTGTACTTCAACAGAATACTATGATTATTGTTTAGATCGTTGTTATTCAGCTATAGGATATCAACTATCATGCAGTACAAGTTCATGCTATGCTACTTCAATGTGTGATCAAACAAAATCCCTTTCATGCATTAGTAATATTTGTAATTGTACAAATACTCAATGGTGGAATACAGCATCATGTGTTGCAAAAGGTAAATAAACAAAAAAGTGATTTTAATCAATATGATTTCTTTTGTTTAGGTACGTACTCAGCGTCATGTACTATTGGTCAAAATTATCAATGTCAAGAATATAATCTTCTATCATGTATTGGATCACTATGTCAATGTTCATCAGTTATGTATTGGTCAAGTTCATCAAATTATTGCCTATCAAAACAGAGTTATAATGGAGCATGTTCATCAACAAATGAATGTCTTACAGCAGCTGGAGTTGGTTTAACTTGTACTAGTGGTCTATGCAAATGTGCATCAGGATATGCATGGAGTTCGGCACTTCAACAATGTAGTGCTGTACCGGGATAATCAAAGAAATAAAGTTGAAGAAATTCTATTTTCATAATTTTAACATAGAATACATTTTGTCTTGAAAATAAAAGAAAAATAATTTGACATTATTATTTCATATTATTTTATTGTATTAAAACTAACTAATGAAAAAAAAGTCTTTTTTGCCTGCAAATTTTTGAATAAAAATTATATTTTAATATATTTCACAATTTCAATTATTCTTTTCGATTATATTTAAGAGCCATGTCACTTAAGTCACGATCTTTCGCCACAGAAGTTGCTCAATCGATTTTTTTTTCTAATTTCGATTTCACATACATATCTCAAAAATGCACCAATTAGTGAGGTTTTTTTGTCACCAACCGTACCTCAACAGCTCAAATCCTCACTGAGATATTCAATTTTTAATCTGAGATCCTTTTCCTTCAATTGATGTTATTGATCTCACTGGTGTCCGCTGAGAAGCATGCCATTTTTGATTGAATTGATATAGAATAATGAAAATTTCAGGATTAGATACATATTGAGTTGCCCTACAAATTAAAATAATCCTCAATTCTAGACATCGTTCTATGGTCGAACTACAGATGTCGTTAGTAGTTGAATTTCATCAATCAATATCTTTTGCATAATCGGCTCCTTTAGGCTGAAAACTTTATAGTAGATACTAGGACTGTGGAGATATATAATGGTGAAAGGAAAAGTTCGGGTAATCAAGCACAACACAAAATATCGAAGATTTACAAAAATTTACTGCATTTCCAGACGGTTTTTTGCACATTTTTGCCGTATTTTTTCATCAAAAACTGAGACTAATCATATGTATTTCGTAAAAAAATTTTTTTTAATCAAAAACTTACCTAAGGAAACCACAGGCAAAAATTTTATAGAAAGTAGTTGAGGGAGCGTAGGGATAACTTTTTGATAAAGAAAATTTTTTTTACAAAATATATATGATTAGACTCGGTTTTTGATGGTGATTGCAAATATGACATTTATTTTGAGTTTTTGTTAGAAAAATATGGCAAAAATGTGCAAAATCAGCTGACAATGTAGTAAATTTTCGTAAAATTTTGATATCTCAAGTTTTGCTTGATTATCCAAGCTTTTCCTTTCATCATTATATAGCTCCACAGTCCTAGTATCTATTATGAAATTTTCAGCCTTAAAGAGTTGGCTATGCAAGAGATATTGAGTGCTAAACTTTTACTACTAGCGATACCTGCAGCTTGATCATAAAACGACATCTAGAGTTAAGAGTAGTTTTATTTTGTAGCACAATTCAATATGTATCTATCCTGAGATTTTCATGATTTTATATAACTTCAATCAGAAATGGCATGCTTCGTAGTTGACACTAATGAGATCAACATCGGCATTTGAAGAAAAAAGATCTCCGATTAAAAATTGAATATCTCAATGATGCTTTAAACTATCGAGGTGTGGTTGGTGGCAAAAAGCTCACTAATTGATGTACTTTTCAAATATGTAAATGGAATAAAAATTTGAAAAAATCGATTGAGCACCGCAGGTCATGGCTTAAATGGAATGGCTTTTAAGTAAATGCACAATGAATGATTATTTCGTAAAGTATAATCAAAGAATAAAATACGTTAATTGTTTTAATATATTCAAAGAATCTTCATGATGATGTGCACAAACTGTCATCTCAGAAATTTCTAAAGAAAAAAAACATACAGCTTGAAATGCCATGTCGTTTGAGTATGCTTCGGTTCGGTGACTTCGATTGTTTTTTTCGATGACAAGAAATTGATATGATTGATTTGTTTATATACCGAAGACACATAAGGGTGTCCCATAATAATTGATGATAAATTGTTAATGATATTTTTCATACTTTTTTCTTGACATAGAGGACTGAAACTATCAGAAATAAAATATCTTGATTAGATATATATATGACACAAATTTCAGCTCTTGCAGTCAAGAAAAGTATGAAAAATATCATTAACAATTTATCATCAATTATTATGGGACACCCTTTTTATATTTAAAGATGGAAATAAACAAACATTATTTTTCTCGATAAATATCTTTCACAGTAGCGGCGTAAAGACCTCAGGGCAGCATTAGAACCGGTTCGGCCGAACCGGTTGAAGAAGTCAACCGGGCTGATAGAAACCGGAATTTCATCGGTTGAAAGTTTTCAAAAATCTTCTTTGTTAACCCTGTTTTTGATCATAAAAACTAAGGTGTTACATGTTTTGTGTCAGAATGCGTAAAAAAGTGCTCAAAACATATGTTATATTAATCATTTTTTCTGAGGTTCTCTTTAAAAAGATTGATTATGATGAGTGTCTTTTACATGCACCCTAAACTATTTCATATTTGAAGCCATTTTTTCTAAAAATCAGTTTTCAAAAAAAATTCGACATTTTTCCACCGTTTTTCACCGGTTGGACATATGATTCCAACCGGCCGGTTTCCGACCGGATCGGTTTACCATTTCTCAACCGGTTCCAAGTCTGCCTCTGAGTAGGGAGGTATTTACGAAAATGGGAGAAAGGTATAACTTAACACAAGAGCGTTCGAAGGCTGTGGCAATATGGTAGATATAACGTAAAATTTTTTTTTGCAATTAAAAATGCACAAAGGTATCATCGATTTTGACCGGCTTTTATATGAAAGTCAAACTTTGGGGAAGTTCTCCAATTCATACAGAATTTAAAACAATTTTCTGTTTATTAAACGCTAGTGTGAAATTTAAAAAGTGATATCTTGCGTTAGAACTCTTTCTAGCAGCAATGTTTTCACATTTATTTCATAAGAGTTTTTGAATATTTTTTGACGTCGAAAGCGACCACACGCGCAAAAATTGTTATTTTATGCGATGACGATCGGAATTTGCTAGAAGCTCTTTAGCTCCTAATACAGGTTCGAGATAAAGACAAATTCATTCGTCCACCAATAGTAACAGAGATTATAATTACATTGAAGGCTTTAGAGATTACATAAATCATGAGGTCAATTCTGCCTGTATGAGAATATATTTCTAAATATTTTTCAGTTCACTAATTATCGGCAAAGACGTTAAAGTTCGCGTAGTTATTTGAGAAAGTTAAATAAACAATTGTGAATTCTACTGCTAGAAAAGCTTCTCGATTTATCGTAAAAAGTAAACAAATTTGGTAATGTCTACTGTTATTTTATTGATAAAATAATCCCATCAAACTAAGTGTTCACGAAATCGAAGAAAGATAGACTTCAAACCTTCCAAAATTGATGAAGATTTGCAAGCTCCTTCAACTTGAAGAATAAAGAGCTCTGACCGTTTACCTACAGTGAGGAAAATGTATAACCGGAATCTCTACAACAGACAACAAAATACTTCAAATTTCCTTAAAAACGAAGATAACTCATCACGAATTTTCGCCTAAGATCAGAGAAAATGCGAAACAACTTTTCTCCAAATTCGAAGAAAATTACAGTTAAATTCTTCTAAATTGGCAGAGTATTAGAATGAAATTCTCCCAAATCTGGAGAAAGTTACAACCGAATTCTCCTGAATTCAGAGAAACCTGCAGTCAAAACTATCCAAAGCAGCAAGGAACCCTCCTCCATTCTCCGGTTACTCTGTCCTTGATTTTTGATATTGAATATTCTGCTTAGAGTTGTCTTTCTTCAATTTACAAAATACAGAAATTCTTTTTCTCTAATTAGAAAAACGATGGGTGAGAATGTAATGATAACTTCAACTGAGCGATTAGTCGTTCATAATTCTGTCATTTTTTCTCTTCATCAAAAACTAATCTCACTCCATGAAAAACATTTGAAAATTGTCCAAACGTGGAATTCTTCACATTTATATGATAAAACATTCTATTTTCTTTTGTTCATTTAAAGCTCAAACGTGTCCATTTACATTCCATATTGTACTTGAAATTAAAATTGGGTACTACAGTTGAAGTCAGTATCAAAAACTGAGTGGAATGATATGTTTCAGAGAACGGTATTTTTTATTCAAAGGACGTCTGCATTCTTCTTCAGATATGAAATGTTGAAGAAAAATCGATTCTGTTATCCTTTTTGTAAAATACGATCGTGTTTTGAATATTCGATATCTAAGAAAGAAGTATCTGTTTTAGCTGAAATTCTCAGAACATTTTAGCGATCATATTACCTATTTGTTGGCAAAGTTTCATTCCGAAATTCCCTTATTTGATTTTTACTGTTAATACTTCGCTAGAGGTTGAAATTTCAGTAAAACGGTCATAACATTGGTGAGACAAATCCTTTCAGGCTTCTTCTAATTTCACAGAGTTCTACTTATAGAGAAAATATAAACTCGAACCAATGGTATCAGTTTGGAATGTTCTCTTATGAGAGAAATGCAGATGTCCTTTGAACAAAAAATACTGTTCTCTGAAACATATCGTTCTACTCAGTTTTTGATACTGACTTCAACTGTAATATCGAATTTTAATTTCGAAAACTACATTGAAGGTAAATGGACAAGCTTGAACTTCAAATGAACAGAAAAAATAGAATGTTTTATCATATAAATATGGAGGATTTCACGTTTCGACAATTTTCAAATGTTTTTCATGTGGTGGTTAAGATGTTTGACACATAACCACAAGATACTATGCTTGAACCTCGGTTCCATCAGTCATAGAACGACCTTGAACAAGTCACTAACGGCAACTTTGTCTCGGATCACTCTCCGATGACAAACTGACTACGTAGTAGACATGTACTATAAGCTCTTGCGGCTAGTATGTGGTCAGTCAGTATGTACGGAGAGCTTCAGTGATTAAGTGGGGAGAACTTTGAGTCAGGTCGGCCTTCTGACCAGAGCTACATTTAGTAATAGATGTAGGAAAATTATTGGACTTTCAAAACTGTCCTTGGACAGCACCCTACACCGCACGGTAGCTGAAAGGCGGAGTATTCTTTTCTATTTTATCTTCATTTTTCATGTGCGTATATAAACGTTTGCTTTCTTAAAGAATAAATAGAGAGAGAAGAAGACACGTACATCTTTAACTGTATTCGTTGCTCTTCGTGAGCGCGAAATCTAATACCAGGAAAAAAACGGTTCGTTCGTTGCAGTAGTTAAAAACCCATCTACCTCCAATACACAGACAAATCACTGATATTGACTTGTTATCATTGATAAAAATCGAAGTCATCAGACTGAAACATACTTAATGGCATTACCTTTCGTACTGTTTTTTTTTAAATCTTCAGGAAAACGGTAAGGATAGATTTTCTACTATAGTTCATAGCACTCTTTGTATCATAAAATAGCATCGTAAAAATAAATAATTCGTGTTATCATACCTAAACTTTATCAATCGTTTGAGTCTTCTTATGATACAATTGATGATAAATGTTCATTTTCGAAAATGTCATATGCCATTTAATCCATTTTACCCATATATATTGTATTCACTTTGAACTACGACAATGAAATGTAAGATCAAAATCTTCTTATTTTATAATATAAAATTCTTTAAAAAGAATATTTTCTAATTTTTAATCTCTATGTATTATTTTTTTTAAATGATAAAAAAATAATGAGTTTTATTCAATATTTATTACATAAATATTACTATTCAAGTATTATTTAAATGTTGATAAAATTTTAAATTTGATGAAGCTAATGTATCATTAGATACATATTTAAGTATAAAATAAGTGCGATTAAAATTATAGAAAAAAGACAAGCAAATAAACAAACATACATGAGCAATATATATATATATATTGCTGAAATATAAACGCACAAGAATTTCAAGTTCATATATTAATTGATGTTTTTGATCATATTGTCGAGTATTTGATTTCTACAAAATTAACTATAGAAATTTTATAAAATTCTTAAATAAATAAAACCTTGATCATTTTCAAAGTACAAAGACAACCAATGTTATTTTTTTACGTTCGACGAGTAGTATTACAAATGAATAAGTATCTGCTCGTAATCGATAAACAATATTAAAATCATCAATAAACCATTAAGGATGTACGGCTTTCTTTATATGATGGTTTTACAATATTGGATAGAAATATGACATCATGATGATTTAGAAAAATATTCATGGCGATTAGTAATCGTTTGAGTAGACGTTGATGTTGACCCATGGGTTTTATTTTATTTTTCTAAATATATATATTAATATGCTCATTATCAAAATGATAACAACAAAGTCATCATCTATCATGCATGAAGAGCACGAATTTCTTTCTGTGTCATATTGGATATTGTTTTTCATATACAAAAAGAAAAAAAAAACATTCATATCATTACATGGTATCTATACAGACAAATAAGCGATGTCGAGAAAAGATAAGAAAGTGGAAATAACAACATCAATAACAAAATCAATATAGATATGCCAATAAAAGAAGAAGAGCGAGAATGTCAATCAAGTCGAAAGAACAAAAAAAAATGCATTGCAATCAAAATAGGATGGGTTTATTGCGTGTCTGTTCAATTACATAAGAGGTAAAACGCTTAAGAAAACGAGGATATTCACGTTTTGCCACACTAAAGTTATGAAAAAACACGATTTGAATGATAATAATAATAATATATAAACTTACCCTCTTAATGCTGCACTGGGAACCCATCCACCAGGATTGACTAAAATAAGAATATATTAATGAAAAATCTAGTTCAGCGTTAGAAGAATGCAAATTCAAATAGGAGTGGGTTGAAATAAGAATAATTTTTCTCTGTGCAAACAGAATAAACTGTTGACTGTTTACAAAAAAAAAAGTAGTCATGATTACTCTTGTTATTATGGGAAAAGAAAACAAGTAGACGGGTGAACACTGTAAGGATCATTGACTATTTCCGAACAACGAGATATATTATACATTGATGATCGGAAATAGTCGTTTATATGATAAAGTATGCTCATTCTATTGATATACACTTAATGTTGTTGGTTCCTTTTTTCTATTTTACTTTGAAATTATTTTTCGAAAAAATAATTCCGTTCTGTAAGAGTTAACTTTTGATATTATTATGAAAATCAACATAATAATTTTAAATTCATCTTCAATAAAAAACAAAACGTATTAATAATGATGTTAGAACGAACAATAAAAAGTCTGCAGACTCTTCTCAATGGATTCACCACGCACTAAAATAATACTAATTAGTTTTGTGAAACACGATCTAAAAGAAATGTTGAAGTATATAGAGTAGATATTTGTATTTCCACACAAATTATGACAGAAGATATCGACAGATCATTGCAGGCATCTTACGAGGAAACGTTTCTAAGTGTCAAATTGCATTTGAGTTGAGACTATGTACATGATGTAGGTTCTAATGAGTTGTGAATATCCTGAAAAGAATTCGGGCTAATAGCTTATTACTGTTGGGATATTGTATTTTTTTATCGGAATGCCATAATTCCTCTCAAAAAAACTGAATTTTGAATTCCGATTTGAAACTTTGCACAGAGATTGACCTTAACGAGAATAGTTCATTATGGAAGTTTCAGATTTTTCGATTGCACATATTATGTAGTAAGAATATAGAATTTTGTCGTGGTTTATGAGCGACATGAAAGACATGCTTTTACCATGATTGTGTCTCAGGATAGAAGCAATCAAAAGATCTGAAACTTTTACAATAAATCATTCTCATCAAGGTCTATCTCTATGCACAGTTTCAAGTCGAAATTCGAAACTCAGTTTTCCTTGTGTTTCTGCTGGGAGACAACAGCATTCTGCTAAAAAATACAGTATCACGGCAATAATAAGCTATTAGCCAGTAATCATTTCAGGGTATTCATAGCTCATTAGAATCTACATGATGCACATAGTCTCAACTCAAATGCAACTTGACATTTAGAAGTGTTTCTTCATTAGTAACGACACATCATAGTCTGTGATGGACGTTGCTGATATATGATCAAATACCGTATATAAATAACATCTCGTTGTATTATATTGACTACTTCCTTATTACATTTCTCGATGATTAAGTGAAAGGATGAGTGAAGAGATGTGTTCCAAAATAGATACAATAAAACAATCTTCCTATGATTAACAATAACAGCTACATTGTGTTTCACATTTTAATACTGCAGAAATTGCTCTAACTAATAGCTTTTTTTTGTCTCCGTAAATCATAGTTTAAGGCAAAGTTTGTGTTGCCGTAGGATGTTTCTCTATCAATAGAATTCAGGAAGGAAAAGCCTTGAGACGTTCTATTATTTGAGTACGATAGTAGTTCGGCGAAAACAATTTCTGAAATTTTAATATGTTACGTTCTTATTCAGAATAAAAGTTCTGAGAACTTGATTTGTTCTATTATATAAGTTATAATTTTCTATTTCAAATTTCAGTATCTTAAAAATTATTTGCTATTTTTTTCATACCAAAAGCAACATAAGTAAGTTTGCATTGGATATTTTCACGTTTAATATCTTGTGGATTTAATGGTGGTTCACATATGATTGTTTCACATATTAAAGCAACATTAGCAACAAGACGAACTTGAGGTGATTTAATCTATAAAGAAAATTTTATTAAAATACAAAAAATAGAAATTTTCTTTTTACAGGTGCAAGTGGATGTGATGTAGTATAATTAACTACAAGCCATGTTGGTTGATCTTCCTCTGAATTCGATATACATCGAATATGAGACCAAAAACATGAATCACGTTGTGCAGCTGGCCATACACGTTTATGTACTTGAAAAAATACCATTGTATCTGGATCTAATACTTCAATTATTTTTGTTGAATCAAGTGTTGCTTAAAAAAGAAAAACATAAATACAAATTACAAATAAAATAAAATTTATATGACTAACTTACTTTCCCAGTCCATTCGATATTGAAATTCCCAAAAATATTGACAAAGTTCATGACCGGTAACACCCTAAGCAAACAAAAAAGAAATTGATATATGGATCAAATCATTCGTTAGCAATGTGACTTCGCAAAACTAAAACATATGTATCTCGAGATAATAAACTTTCCTAGAGCTAATTTTTATATGTTAAGTTGCTCTAGATACTCTGAAAAAATCAGCGCTAGAGACTTTCGTTTAAAGGAGTTATCAGCGAAAACCTAGTGTTAGCGATATGGCACAAAAAACAAGATCGACTTTCACTTCATAGATTTTAATTTAAAAAAAAAACCTCTGAATTGAAGCAGTATCCTTGAAAACTAAATAGTACATTCTGTAGATAAGTCCCGAGAGTACAAAATATCGATTCAAAGTTTTTTCTGAGTATGATTAAATTTTTCAAAAAAAAATCGATTTTCTTTTCATTAACGACATGATGAAATATCAAAAATGCTCTTATAACTGAATGAAAAGTTCAAAACCAATTCAAAACAGTACAAATTCTTCTTCAAAATATCTAGAAAAGCGATTTTTAAGAAGAAAGTTTTTGGACTCTGATCTTCCTGAATATCTAACCATAGATTTTTCAACTGAAAGAGCTAATATTTTTATATATGTCTATGCTAAAAGAATATATTTAGAAAAATCATTAAAGGCAAATGAAAGATGATTATATCCTATTGTATCTTAAATGATTTATATCTTCTTACTTTTATCGTATGAAAACATTTAAGTGGATCAACAACAATTCCATTTTCTTCAACTTCACGTCGATAGACTTTCATTTCACCGTCTTGATGTATTAAATCCCAACCATGTGATACATCTTCACTAACATATTTTAAATGTTCTTGAACAATGCGTTCAACCTAATAGATTAATAGTAAATAATCAGAAAAAAATAACAATAAAATGAATTTTAAAATAGAATTTACATCGTCAGACAATCGATGTTTGTCTTTGATCACTAAACTATCGTCATTTGATGTTGATACAATCGTTGCATCAGTAATTGTTGTAGGAGCATTTTTAGATGAAGATTTTGATCTATTTACTGTTGATTTTATAGAGGATTTTGATTGAGATGATAATTTCGACTGAAAATATAGGATAATATTTGAGTATTCGAAGTATACAATTTATTCAGACCTCATCCAATGGTAAAGAACTATGTTGATTTTTGAATGAATTCTTTTCTAAACTTTTATTCGCGAATGATGATGATGATAGTTCAAGGCCCTCATCATTTATCTTATGAATATTGATAGATGGTATGTGAGACAATAACAAAGATGATGCAGTCGATGTCAAGGGATATTTATTTTGTTGATAATAAGGTCGTAAACCACCAACATAATTTGATAATGATGACGAACAGGATGAAACAAGTGGAGTCAATGAAATAATAGTACTCGATTTTGCATAATCTGATTTGAATGGAAATGAGTGCGGTATATGAAAAGGTTTTTTTATCGATTGCATTGTTATTGTTTACCTTAAATACTTTTTTTAACCTCTTATCGTTATTATACACGTTTGTAAAAATATCTTTAGTAGTTCTAATAGACCTATGGCGATTTTTTTTTGTTATTGTTTATGTATCGTTTTTTTTCTTTTGTCTATTCTAATAGCAATCTATCTGGTTAGTATTCATTCATTATGACAAAAAACCTACTAAGATACATGATGCTTTTAACAATGACGTAATGATATTGATTGAAGATTGAGGAAAAAAAGCACATAGCATATTATTATAAAAGCCCTTATATATATATATGTATATGTTTAATTCATCATTGAGTATAAGTTGATAAAATAATGAAAAAGAACAGAACACCTTTGTCATCATTCGTCCTTTTTTTTAAATACTCCTACATAATTATACACATTTTATCGTTATCGTTGTTACTCATTGTTAGTTTTATGCGTATAAGCCAAAAAAAAAACAAAATGAAAAAGACAAAATATCAACACTTACTGAAAATTGATATTTATCATTTTCACGATCGATTCGATCAAGAGATTGATCAAGTGCATCGAAAAATTCTTCTTCTTTTAATGTACTATGTGGTCCTTCCTTTAAAATAAATTTGAAAAAAATCTATTAATTATTTTTTATTCTAATATATTTATTTACTTCAGCATCTGGTGAACCAAATGCAGAAATTTTTTGTTTATTCGTTTTACTATATAAATCTTGCAATTTTTTACGACGTTCCAATTCCTAAGAATCAAACAGAAAAACAAAATTTTAGTATAAAAAACTTATTTTTCTTTTTCAATAACTTTTTCATATTTTTTTCTCCAAATATCTTCTCGTTTTTGCATTAATTCAATACAAAATGCTACATTATGTATGACACCATCTGTTGTTGCTTTAAATGTTAAAGCTAAATAAAATTGAAACAATGAACAAAACAAAAATCAGAAGAATAAAAACTAACCTTCTCCTTTGAAATCTATAGCCATAGCTGCATGATCCTTAAGTGCCAATCGATCAATTTCTAATAAGGAAATAATTATTGAAATTTTTCTTTTCTTTAAAATAAAAAAAAACAAGACAAACTTGGTTTTATAGATGAATTTTTGATTGTATTATCATTTGGTATTAATTTTGAATAATGTTTATCTAGTGGCTCTTCAAAATCTAAATCATTTGCATTTTCATCTATATATAAAAAAAAAGAAAAACATTAACAAATCTTTTTTTTGTTTAATTATAAAAGATAATTTAACTAACATTCTTTTTGATATGGTTCAAATCCTTTTGTTACTGCATTAGCACATGCATCAAAATAAGTTTGTAATGTAGCAACTTGTTGTACGAGTAATTCTCGAAATGTTTCTAATTCATTTAATTTTTCTTTTAAACTACGATCTTTCTATATAAAAAATAAGTTTTTAGTGATTTGTTGTTTTTTTGTTTTATTTTCTTAGTTTACTTTAAATGAACCAGTTGAAGCAACACTAGCACTTGCTGTTGATGCTAATGAGCCAAGGCTTGGATGACGTCTTAAACTTGTTTCACTTCCATAACCGGATTCACTTTTACACATTTGTTTATGATCTTCTAATGCCTGTATCCATTGTTTACGATCACCAGGACTATGCGCACGTAAATACCATACAGAATCACCAACACGTATATCAAAACGACATTCATCAAATTCATGAGACTATAAAGAAAAAAATTTTCTTGTTGAAAATAATAGACACATTATTTTATTAACGAGGGAACTACTTGAAACTGGTCGAGTTTTTTAACCGAATCGGAATGGTTGGTTTACATTTATGATTGGATTAGTAAAAAAATCGACTACTCCGGTTTCAAGCATGTTCGAAGCCGAGTTATGGTCGTTATACTAAATTTCCGATCCAGGTTTAGATACTTACCGAAAAATCAAATAATAGAATTTTAACCTAAAAATTTTGCCTATAAGATAATTCTGGAAGCGTCACCTGAAAAGAATGTTCCTTTGTCGAGATATTGAATTTTCAAAAAAAAATATGGTCGTTTGCCATAAAAATCAAGTTTACTTGAAAAGTCAATATTTTGATAAAGAAACAATATTTTCGATTGAAACTTTCAGAAGATACCAAGAGTTATCTCATAGACGAAATTTCATTATTTGATTTTTTGGTAAATACCTAAAGATGGATCGAAAATTGAGTAAAATACTCATTATTCGACTTCAGAAGTCCATCGACACGAACCCTTATAGAATTTTTCTAGTCTTCTGCTTGTGAATCAAATATTAGTTCAAACGATGATTAATTTCGTCGTAAAAATACGTATGATATGTCTTTTTTTTCTTATCATAGAACGAAACATTATCAAGAAATCTAATTTTGTGCATGTTTGTTATCATATCAGATATTATCTTTGTTGCTCGAAATGATTCTCTTCTAAAATAAATTTTTGTTCTATTTGTACCTGAATCAAAGCTTGTTTAACAGAAAGAGCTCCTCGACAACCAAGACCAATATCATATTCATTTTTATAATAATTTAAAAATCCATTTTTTAATATAACATATCTTTCTTGCCATCCATGTAAATAATTAGTCCATTTAAAAACTCGTCCTTGAAAATCTCCATTTCGAAATGAACCACTTGCTGTTTTTTCATCATCCAAAGATTCTTCATCATCCGATGTTGTTGGATATTCAAGAAGTGTTGCCATTCAATTGTTATTATTATTGTTATTATTATTATTGTTATTAATCTACATACAAAAAAATAGATAAAAGAAGTTAACGAAAAAGAAAAATTTAAATGAAAAAAAAACAAGTTGAATAAAATAAAAAAAGAGAAAAAGAAGAAACAAATATCCATAGAAGTGATAAGAAAAACTATGGATTCAGTGCTATTATAATTGGTTCATTAGAATGACGAATAAGAACGTGAGAAATAGTATTATCCTTTTGCGTATTTCTGCTTTGTTATTATTAGAATAAATTATTTCAGATATTTATCAACTAATTCTTATCAATGAATTTCTTCAATTATCAATATCTCAATCGAAAACATCTGCAAGGTCTCAATGAGTATAAAGTAAAATAAATAAAATGAATTTTATCAATTTTTTTTTCTTAATTAATATTATCATTTTAGTATAATGCTATTGATACATCTCCCTTATCGACTTACATCATGCAACCTTTTTGGAATTGGGGTGTTGAGGTAAAGTAAATTTTAAAACTTATAATAATATTTATTTTACTAAGTAATTATGTACCATCAATTCATTTTCTTTTTCATTCAAATTAATCATCGATATTTTATTAATAGCTTCTAAGACTTATTTATTAAAGGACTGAAGAGAAAACATACTTGCATATTTGAGTTTTTTTTAGTTCATCTGTCGACGATATGTAGAATTCGATGAAATATGAAGAATTTGAAAAGGATTAGTTCCTTTAAAACTTCGTTCTCAAGTTACAGTTGGTTTCTACTGCACTTGTGACCTATCAGTGTTTTATCAAGCATAGTAGCTAAGGAGGTGGCGCCTCTCAGAAGATCGAGTTGGTCTGTATAGATTTTGTGACTATTTTAACATACAATGTTTCTATGCTCCCAAAAACTGATATTCGCTCTGCTGGAATGTAAAATTACTTCTCTGAAAGATAAAACACAGTAAATTACCACATCGTATTTCGGAAGAAAAACCTTGAAATCATTCAAATGTTCAAAAAGTTTCAGTTCAAATCGATGCTTTCGTCATGAAAACAAAGTACAATATTATTAATAATTCAGAAAACCTGAATTATCTTGAAAACTAGTTAACTCAATATGGAAGCATTGATTTGAAGTTGAACTGTTCATACATCTTAATGACTCTAAAATCTATCTATGTACGAAATATCATGCAGCAGATCATAAGTTCAGTAAAAACAGCAATAAATCGAGAAAGAAAAATTGAAAGAATCATTCCTTTTCAGATTCTTCATATATCATCAATGTCTTCTTATTGTCAAAAGATGAATTAAAGAAAGCATGAACGTCTGAATGCACTTTCTTATGAAAAGATAAGAATCATTAGCTGTTACTTAGCGTATGTGAAAGTCACTATGACATAAATACACAAATTCTACCAAAACAATGCTTAGTGACAAGAGAGTATTTTGGTCTGTAAAAAATGAAATAGGAGTTAATGTTAATTCTCATCAGACGAAATTTCTGATTATTCTTATCGTTATACAATACTGTAGAATTTGTTTTTGGACGATTTGAATAAAAAGTACAGGCAATGTTTATACTATATGTACAGAAAATTTCATCTCTGAATGTTGAGTCGCAGTAGAACTGAACCTATTAAAATTCAAAGTAGTCAACTTTTGATGGATAAAATTTTCAGACGATCTTTTCGACTGAGTTAATTGTTTCTTTACAAATATTCGAAAACAACTAAATCCATATAAATATAAAGAAAAGAACACGAGCTATTTTTGTAAAATTAATTAATTGTGTTTTATTTTTCGACATTCAACGGATCATTTGCATGTAAACTTTTCATTATTTCATTTCAAAGATTATTTTTCTTATCAACTATAGCAAAGTCGAACGAGCATTAGATAATGCACATCCTTCAGAAAGTGATCTCGTAAAACTAGTAAAAGGTCTTTACCGAAACTATACATCGTCTGCTACTTTATGTAGCCTCTGACACTATTCCGATTTTGCTATAGTTGACAAGAAAAATAATCATTGAAGTGAAATGATGAAAAGTTTACATACAAATGATCCGTTGAATGTCGAACAATAAAACACAACTAACTAATATTAAAAAATAATTGTTCTTCTTTTCTTTCTATTTATCTGGATTTAGTTGTTTTCGAATATTTATGAAAAAACAATTAACTTAATCGAAAAGATCATTCAAAAGTTGACTACTTCAAATTCTTATCGGTCCAATTCTACTATGACTCAACATTCGGAAGGAAAATTTTCTGTACATATAGTATAGACGTTGACTGTATTTTTGATACAAATCATCTAAAAAAATTTGTCTGATATTGTATATTCTAAATTCAAGCGATATTGGAGATTGATCGGTCACTTGCCCAATTAGCTAAGAGATTAATCGGCGGTTTTCAATTCGTTCATAGGGAATGAACGATAATGCAGTTGATGTGTAAGTAGTGATGAGCGAGACCAATCGTTTTCGGTTCTGACTTTGCACTTATGAGGGAACCACCCAAGATGATATTTCGGCTTTGAGATGAGACCTCCAGTCATTACGTAGGGCCTGTTGAGACCAGAAAAAACTTAGAAGAATTCTTTTCCATGCTCTGCCCTTTTGGATTTATCACCGTTGCACTGGATTTTTTAAACCTTTGATACAGTATCTATGAAAAAACCGAACAAACGAATTCTGGTCTAAAGCTTTGCACATAGACAGCTCTTGAAGTCATTAGAATCTGCTAAAAATTTCAATGAAAAAGAATTATCACTTCTCGAGATATCAAATACACAAAAAAACCATGATATTTCGCCAAAAGGACGAAAAATCTAGTTTTTTCTCTCCATGAGCAAAGTTTTAGGTCGAAATTCGTTTGTCCGTTTTTTTTAATAATTATCGTGCCAAAGGTAAAAAATCTAGTGTAACACATGGGGGAAGAATCCTTCTAGTCTCAACAGGCTCTACGTAGTGACTGAGATCTCATCTCAAATACAATGTATCATCTAGGGCGGTTTATTTGTTAGGAATACATGTACTAGCGAAAAATACAATATCATTTTCTAGCAGTGTCAATGCACTCGAGACACCTTGCATGATCTGTAATGTTTTCTCTCGTGGAGATTCATTACTTTTTTTTAATTCACTAATACTTCGTCTATTCTGCACGTTTATGTGCTTGACAACTCTGTTGTTTACAAAAAAAAAAAGGATTCATTCACTTAGATAATAGTACGTAGTTTCTATTTGAAATACATTGGTTGTATATAATTATTATTGAAAATATTTTTCATATGAAATAAATGAAAGACGAAATATTGATTTTTCTGTTTGTTTTATTTAGTTTTTTCCACGTTGGTTTGCACCAAATTTAATGACATTTCTTGGTTTTCTCCTTCTTGTTACTAATTTTATTATGTTTTCATATTATGACTTTTATTTTACTGAATCACTTGTTCTTCCAAGATGGATTTGGCTTGTAGCAGCTATATGTCAATTTTGTTCACATCAGTTAGGTATGAGATGATTAGATGCAAAAAAAACATCTTAAATTAGTATGATTTTATAGATGGTATGGATGGAAAACAAGCTCGACGTACAAAGTCTAGTAGTGCATTAGGAGAATTATTTGATCATGGAGTTGATTCATGGGCTTGCTTTTTATTTCCTGTGTGTATCTTTTCGGTTATATCACAAGATGAATATGGATTTAGTCCAATGGCTATGCATGTGCTTCTTTGGACTATTTATATATCATTTATTGATTCACATTGGGAAAAATATAATACAAAAGTTTTATATTTACCATGGTCTTATGATATATCTATGCTCGTAATACATTTAATTCATTTGTTTTTTGTTTATATTTCTATTTGAATAAATTAGGTAATGACAATAACATATTTAATAGCATATTTTTTTACGCCAACTGTTTTTCGTTTTGATATTCCACTTATGAATATCCCATTTACAAAATTCGTTGAATATGCATGGTCAAGTAAGTTTTTATAAAACTGAAATATTTGTAGTTATTTTGTCTTTTCTAGTATTTGCATTAAGTACATCAATACCAATTAGTATTAAACATATTCGAGCGTAAGTAATCATATAGTGTCATTAGACTTTTAATGAGACAAAAAATATAAATATTTATGAGTTGTGTCAAGGAAGAAAAATTTGTCTTTCTCATCTAAAACGCACTTGTAACGGATAGTGCAAAAATTCTGCTTAATTTTGTGTTCAAAATAGCGTGACAAAAATTCGTTATGGAGATTCGATAGTTTTCTTCGTAGAAAAACTAAAGTCTTTAGTATGAAAATTGCCTAAAAATATTTCGTTCAAAATACTTCTAATCGAGGAAAACAGCTGATGACTGCGCAATACGACATGTTGATGGGGTCATATTGTTCGTAAATACGGAGTAGATCTCGTCGGGTTGGTTCCAGACCCAGACTCGACGGACTCTAGTCACGTGAGAAATGTATAGGTTGCGCTAGTGATCAAATAGAAAAAAATCCAGAAAAATATCTCGTATTTTGAGCGACTCTCCAACTCCGATTAGAACGTTTCATTGAGAGTATTAAAATACGGTTCGCTCGGATCCGAAAATTTTGAACCCGACGGGCACTAATACAGAGCCAGTATGCACAGTGAATGATTTCTATAGAGCACGCAGACATGATTTATTTTCTATTAAAAACGTATTTTTCTTATAGGAATACTAATTTTCAGTACTTAACAAAAAATTGATGGAAAAAAAATGAAACTCGTAAAAGAAGATTTTCGATGGAAAATGTAGGGGCGGATTCATACCCTATACTTTTGTCGGAAATATTTGTATTATTAAAAATTAATAAATGTCCTATTGTTCGATGCAGCGTTCCGTACTGATTCAAAACATGTTCTTGTTGTTCCTCTTAAAGTACTCTTGAGACTAAAGTACGCGGAAAATCTTTAAGAAATAATGTTTTTTTAAAGAAAGCCTGTATCGCAATCCAGGAACATTTATGCACCCTTTATGCAAACTGAGTTAGACGTGTTAGACAAAAGAAAACATTCTATGAAAATTTCAGCGAATTTGGAACTATGCTAAAGTGTGTGCACTGACTACACTAAATACGTCTTCTTAGAAAACTCTTAGCTGAGAAAGCATGCATACTTTTTCAAACAGGGAAATTGTTAGAACAAAGTTTTTCATATAGAAGAATAGAGCAAAAGTTCTACGATTTATTTCGTAGATCTTTCTATTTTCTTTGGAAAGAAAGATACTTTCTTCTAAGATGACAAGAACTTGTCCATTTTTTTGGACTTAGGATTTTTCCAAATTCTTAAAGAGTTACAATAATTCTTTTTTAAATTAAAAAGTCGGCCATTCGATATTATTCCAATCGTAAAAAAATATCACTTTCATTTTTTCACCAAATGTTCACTTTGTTGTCCACTATGGTATGTATGATAGAATACGGTCAGTAATACTGAACGTGTAATAACGACACGACACAACATAAAAACGATTGTTTACGGTAATTGACGGTAATACATAATAATTGATCCGAGACTTAATGAAAGCTGAAAACTTTTAAGAATGGAATTGGTTAGAAAAGTTCTCTGCATGATCCGGAGTTTAGAAGAAAGGTTTCATGCACTAAAACGTTAATTTTATTTTCCGTGTTGCATTGGGTTTTGTAACACTACGATAGAGCATTATAAACAGGTAAAAATAAAATTTTCAAATTATAATTTGAGTTCGAAGTTGTCATGTTTCTAACGCTCTTTGCTAGAGGAAACGTATTCATAACTAATAAATGATTTCGAAAAGTAGGATTTTTTCCCAACAATAGAAGTTAGTGTAACGTCATATTTTATTTCCAGTTAAAGTTTAGACAGTCTTGTACAAAAGCAGATTATACAAAACAGAATATTATACATGATGAGAATAACTTCACTGAACGTTGTCAGAGTTTTGTAGGAGAGACTAGATATGCGCAGGATCGGGGCCAAAAAATAAAACTTTATCAGGACTGAAATCACTAAAAAAAAAAGCAACTGGAACTAGGCACGTATCAGATTAACCAGGACTACGATTGGGACTGCTTAAAAAGAAGTGACCAGATCTGGGACCAAAACAACCTTGGTTCCCTACACACGTCTAGTAGAGACTCTAACAAGAAAACTATCGAGTCTCTACTACGAGTTATTGTCAAAATTAATTCAAAACTTTTGCACTATTCGTTATATTAATTTTGAAGTACAATCCATATCTGCATGACTTCAATTGTTAAGTTTTTGTTCTCACATATTAATTCATTGTCTAGATCGATTAATAATTTAATGATAACATAAAATGTATTGATAATTATTTGATAAAAATATTCTTCTAGATCATATCGAAATGGTACAGGTTATAATCGTACATTTTATGAAGCTATTCGGCCATTAATATCTCCTATTGTTCTATTTATATCATCAACTTGGTGGGGACTTGCTTCACCTCATATGATAATGCATAAACAATCGCGAATATTTTTTTCAGCTGTTGGCGCAACTTTTTCAAATATTGCTGTATGTATATAAAAATAAGTTCTTTTTTTCTATTATTATATTCTTTCAGTGTCGTCTTGTTATTGCACAAATGACAACAACACGTTCAGATGGCTTTAATAATCTACTTTATATATTTGTTCCCATACAACTTATGTCAGTATATGGTGCACTTACAGAAAGAATGGAATTTATACTTTTGTTTCTTTATAATATATTTGTTATTTTGGCTCATTTACATTATGGTATTTGTGTGGTAAATTTATTTGTAAATAAAATTCTTTGAATTCTATAAGATAAATTTCTTAGGTTCGACAAATATGTGACCATCTTAATATATATGCTTTTAACATAACTGATCGTTCAAAACAACCACCACCAACTGAAGCTCATATCAAACATTGATAATAAAACGAAAAAAATCTGTTTTTTTTCCTTACACTTATATTATTATTCATGCTTACATGCGTATTGTGTGTTCTATCTTCATTCTCGTATTCTATCTCATTTATTTAGTTAATATAAAAATCTGAATTAAACTTTAAACTAGGCTTTGTGCAATACATATCTCCGTTATTTGTGTTTTTTTTTTGAAAATACAACTACTTTATATGTTTATTTGTTTTGCTTGTTTATTTTATTTATATATATATATAAACAAAAAAGCGATTGTTTGTTGGTTTTTTGTTAGTCAAGGCATATATATATATATATGAGTATGCTTTTGTTTTGTTTCTGTTTAAACTTTTCATTAAAGAAATAGAAAGATCTAATATTTGAACAAAAGAGATCAGTGATTTTTGTTTTTGTTCTCAGTTTAAATCTCTACTAATTTATTATTTTTTTATTCTTCGATGACATTCATAATTTGATATTCAATTGATAGAAAAAATACTCATGGGTAACAGATATATGGCATCATATTTATGATTACATCATTTGTACGCTCATATGAACAACAATGAAACATTTATTATGATTTTTCTTCTAGTTCTTTTTGATTACATTTATTAACATCATAAAGTTTATATCGATGGAATGTTTATTGATGAGCGCTTATTCCTATAAAAGCAAGAAAAAATTAATATTTTTTAACATTGAATCAGTGAAAAAAAGGACAAATGTCTTACATAATTTTGTTCAATATCTCGTTTACTGTTAAGAAAGTAACGTTTGGATTTCAGAAAGTATCGTTTAGCATTTAAATGAAATTCGTCTTCTTTATTTGGGCCATTGACATCATCATCGTCATCACTGATGTATAGATTTGATTCGCGGCGTGTTGGCAAAAATCGTCGTTTAGCCATATAACGGACAGATTCCGGTGAATTTGGATCATGATTCAACTGCTAGTTATTTAAATTAATAAACGAATAAAATTACATAAAACTATTTGACTTACAACGAAATAATCAGCATCAATGGCATGTATATCAATGGACAGAGCGAATAAGAGAATAACAGCAAGACAAAGTAGAATTTTATCGATGGCGAAAGGCATGATAACTAAAAGAAATAGTTTTTGTTCTGATGAAAATCTATGTTATTGTCTTTATATAGCACCTTCTTGCTATTTGTATTTTCTATTAAGAATATGTTTTTTTTCTATTTTTATTTAGTCACAAGGGAAGTTAGTTGTCAATAGTCTAAGTGACTTTTTATATGAATAGTATTGTTCTTCTCTTCCCTTTTCCCCTTCCCCTTTTCCCCACTCACTATATTTCACTAAATTAATTGGTCACATTAATGGAACATCAACTATATATATGGAAATGATCAAATGAAAATAATCCATAAACGATTAAATGAGTTTGAAACTGAGAAAATCAATTTGACTATAACCAACCCTATTTTTAATAAAATATATGTTTAACAAACTAATTTGTTATTTTCAGTTGCATGTTAAGTATTGAGTCGATTTATTTTTCTTGATCGTTATAGCGTAACTGATGTATATATGTGCACTACCGGAAATTTTTCTTTTTCTTCAACGCTAAATAGCGGAAATAAAAATAGAAAAGAAATTTTATTATCGATCTCTTAGTTTGTTATTCAATATATAGCTGATAAAAAGTAGTACCAGGGGAAAAGTTTTTTCTTTTTATTGAATATTATAATATGTTACAAAAGAAATGTTGCATATTATGGAAAATGATTTTAGAGGTTCGATTAAATGTAATCAATTCGACGGACAAAATTAGATGTATATTTCCGCAACACATGTGTTATAGTAGGAAAAGAAGTGATTCATGTATGAAAAACTAGAAATGAAATTAATATTCAATCGATGTGAATCATGATATATTTTAATAATTGTTTTTATGTTAGTTCAAATGAGCTATTACTTTTTGATTCCACGAAAAAAAAAATTCATGAATTTTTAAGTGAATCAATTGATGAATATATGAAAAGAAGGTAAATTTTTGTCCTTACGATTATTTTCTATTAGTAATAGAAATCTTCCAAATGTAATAACCTTTCTACTTCTTTTTGGATATCATAAAAGTCTCACTATAAAATAATTCATTGCAACCATCATACACTCTAATTGATTCGACATGTGTCATTTATATCAAACATTACTTCCTTAATGACATGACATAAAAGATTAAATTCAGTTACTTTTTAATATACTCCTACATTGTTGAATTTACTCAATAACTACAAGAAGAACATGTATTTCAGAAATTAATTGTTGAATGAATGAAAAAGAAAAAAAAGATATCGGCGTATCAACTTGATGCTGAAAATCATGTTGTAGAAATACATTGAATAGAAAATTACTGAGTTTAGACTTGCGTAAAATATGAGAAGCCATTTAAAAATTATTATTTACAAAATAGAAAATCTTTCAAAATATTCTACCTCTTATATATTATCTTTTTAACTTAAATCATTGTGTATAGAGACCACCGAGCTTCACTTTTCTTTTTGACTTGACCGCTGGGACTCTAAAAATGTACATTTATATCTACATTTTATAAGTAAATTTCTAATTTGTTTTCCTTCATAATTTCCTCATTGTTTTGTTTCTCAGTTATTTTTATTAACATTAATTCATTGAAATGAATAATGAATTAATCATTACACTTATTGTTTATATGTTAACAAGTCTTCATCTACTCTCATGGTGTCACTTAATAAGAAATGTAGTAAGGCTGCTAGACATGTCTTATTAAAGATTTATATTATATATTTTTTTGTCGTTCCTAGAAGAAATCGTTTTCTTGGTTGTATTTGAGTGCTACACGAACTGAATTTTTCGAATTTGAATCCGAAAATTTGATTCATTTTCTTATTAGAAATAATTATTTTCTATGAATATAATTATTAAACAATAATTATTAGTTTTTATAAATGTTAAATTGAATATCAGTGAGTAACGATAAGATGTCAGGGGCTTTAATCTAAATTAAAGTGTATAAAAACAATTGATAAACTCAATTTTCGTAATGTCTTATGAATGTGAAATTCAAAAATACTTGATCGCCTATTATTTCTTTGTGATTTGAGTCAAAGGATGCAATTGTTTACGCTCTCTTTGGATTGAAACAATACAACGAAAGATAACTCTACTGACTGAAGCACTAGATCTTTAGGATAATGATAAATATTATAAAAAAGTAAAATGAAAAAAAAAAGTTTCACTCTTTTGGATTTTATTCAGAGAGACTAACAACAATGTCAAAGCATAATTATAATAATTATAGAAAGAAAACGTATTACCTCAAATACTTGTTCACAATGACTCATAATATCATATTTAAGAGAAGATTACACAAAAAATATTATTATCCAATAATTGTTGAAATAGACGCACTAAAAGAAAAAAAGAAACAATCGATTTTCAAAAACTTATTTAAATAACAATATAACAGAAGTTCAAGGGTTTTTGAAAATACCTGAGTCTATCAAACAAATAACACTCTACCTAAGGCAATGATTCCAGTGTCCCATTCCGTGAGTTTCCGAATGGAAAAGTCCAAAGAATGGTAGAAATTCGGAAAGAGAAATATGATAATCGTATCCAGTGAATGACACTGTTCACATACGAACAATCTTTGCCGGAATCGGAAAAATCCAGTCAATGGATGTATATATCGATCGATGCCCTGCTTTCAAGTCCCTACTACTTCCCAGTGTATCCCGACTGTACACTATTGACGTGGACAATATCCACAGCATCTTTTATTTTTGAAAATATAAATATTATTGAAAAAATTCAAGCAGAGTTTTTATTAAATACACAACGAATAAAGCGTTCGACATTGCATATCTGTGAAGTGATTGCGTTTGATGCATCCATGGAAATATTTCTCGGTGTAAATGTTGTTTTCAAATTGAAGTTGTAAGAAGAATAACTATTTTACGACATGAATGTCTAAGTCAAGTTGTAGAAATACTGTGTTAAGCTCTTTTTGCCTTCCAACAGATAATATTTTCTAGATCGTTTTGTTCTTTTCTTTCTAGAACACATAATCTACGGCTATAATCCTGTTAGAACATATAGAATATCTCGAAAAATTCGATGACTTTCAAAGAGAATTCGCCATCTATCTCTTACTTCAACTGTTCACATAAAAAACACTCTGTGTTGTCCTTTGAACTGGCAATCAAGAATTCAACTGTTTTACTAAGTCCATGTGATAATTTTCTTTTTATTTTATTAATCTTTCGGAATTGAAAATCCCGTCTATAATTCAAACTCATGATTTCAAACAGTTAATTATGTACTGATAAGTTCCATATGACTTTCATTTAAGATTTCGTATGTTACTTCTTCTGTCAGACCTTAAATATTTTCAATCAGGTTAAAAATTCAATAATATACTAAAAAACAAACGAAATGATGGACATTGAAACATAATTAAATTCAGTTTAGTTAGAATATTGATTAATTGAAAAGTTTCATCGAAAATAGTTTCGTTTCATAAAACTTCTCCTGATCGATCCGGTAATAGAGTAACCAATATCTTTAGAAGAGAAAAGATACAATTATATGTTTATAAATATTAAAGTTCTATATAATAAGAATATAAATGAGTTGAGAAACTGGATTGAACAAATGTTCATTTCTATTGATATTTTTCTTGATCAATGAAAAATATAATATCAAATAGAGTTCGAAACATATATATATATATATAGGTTTGCGTATCATAACTCAACTGTCGAACTAATTTGGCCGGTTAATTGAATTTGTGTCGATTTGTAAATATGTGGCTGCTACAACAATATACTCTCCAATAGGTTTGATTTTAGTTGTTCTCACCATTAGAATTGTCTCTTGACATGACCTTATTCAAGAGACACTTAATTGTAATCAATTGGCTTAGTTTGATGAAAATTATGAATTCCTAATGATCGAAGCTTGGAACAAAACTATAGAACAAACAATAATTTGATTCTACTTATTATTATGGATTTTACAATAAAATGCTTCCCTTTTTTCAGTCTATTATGCATACCTTTATTATTCCATATGACAAAGTCAAGATGCCTTGGATATCTAGGTAAAGAACCATTTTTTGTTAGTGAAGTTCACAAATTTAGAGAAGTATTCTTACCATTTTCTCACTCTATTGGCAGCTCCATGTGCTAACTCGCCAGCTTTATGTTTTGATTCAGTCGAAACTGAACAGATGACAACTTTAATTCTATTTGATGACATGAAAACATCATTGAAAAAAAATTATTATGCATATTAACCAGATACTGCCGATTCAAAAAAAGTTTTATATTGAGAGAATATATTTATATGTAAGCGGCGATACCCGTTCATGAAGTTCATCTTACATTTAAATGTATTCATCAGTTCTCGTCTATTAAATAATAAAATCGATCAATCTGAAATTTTCAAAAACTATAAGCATCAATGATATGCTAACAGAACATTACGATAATAATTTGTAATCAAATGATCCATTCATTAGATAGACAGTCAATCAAAAATGTATTTAAACGAGCATATCATACTTAACAAATATTTTCTATTCTGTTGACGGAAGAAAATACCACTACAGGAAATACTTCAACATCCTTCATAGCAAGAAAAACAACACATTTAAACTATATTTTATAACAATCTATAGAAAGCACTGATACACAAAGTACCTATTCATCAATATTCAATAAAATTTCACGTACAGTAAAATCAGATTTATTTAATAATCTAAGAAAAAGGAACAGTGACAAACAATATATACGATGTTAAAATTGATCAATAACGAGGATGATATTTTATTGATAGAATGGATAGTTCATTTGTTTCAAAATGTAACAGTAATTCATTCTTCGATATTTGTTTATTGATGCAAGTCATAATGGTTATATTAGCAAAAAAAACATAGCTCATCATCGAATAACAAATTTGCTATTATTTCGTTCACTCTCAGAAATTTTGTTTTCGATGACAGTTGAACAATTTTTATGATTCCGCTCAAATGACACTGTTCATTGTGTTGTGATGAAAACAGAATTTTTCTATAAGCGCATGCCTGT